GGGGAGGGGCAGGGGGGGTGGGTTCTTTTTATTTGAGAAACTACCTTGATCTGAAAATATTCATTAGTCAGGTGGCTAATAATAAGAGTGGTTTTGACAGATGATTAGAATTATTACATGTCGCTGTAAGGAATCTATCAAATCAAGAATGGTTCTGGATCTGGTCCACTGGCATACAGATTATTTATTTCACGTATCTTCCATGTTAGCTTGAAGTCAAGCTAGTTGTCTAGGCTCAGCATAAATATGTTTCAACTTTATGGAGAATATCAGGATCGAACAAATGATTTGATGTGATGGAACAGTTTATAAGATGTTGTGGAATCACATGCTCTGCTTATTTTTAGGATAGTATTTGCTTATGGGGATCCCTGTCTGCCAAAGAGTTTCTTGGGTGTTTATTAGATTTATATCCTACTTTTTTCATGTGAATCTCCAGTGTGGTTTCTGCTGTTCTTTAAAAGTATAGGAAGAAACAGCAAAACACTTTACATCCTGAAAATTAAATCTTTACCTAGGTTATTGCTTAGCAGAGTTACCATACAGTGCAATGGTGGCTGCATCCCAAGAGGACACACTGAAGGACAGTGCTGTAGACCCTTCCTTAGAAGTGCATCCTGTTTGATGCAGGAGGATTCATTTCAGATTTAAACACCATAGGACTGGACGATGATGGAATTGCAATCACAAACATGGCTTTCAGGAACCAAGTCTCCAAGGCTTATCACTTGAGCCAAAAGCAAACCTTAACTGGATTCAACATGGCAGCCTGACACTCTCTTTATTTTATTATGTATTATTTATTAACAATATTTAAAGACCGCCCTGGTCTACAAGACTTTGCATCTCAAGTGTTTTCACTCAGGTGCCCCTTCATGGATTGGATAGATCTGATTTTTCCAAAGTTGCAGAACTCAAGCCATTTGTCTGGGACTGTACTCAAGGCCTTGTTTTCATACAGGATTGCCTGATTGACATATTTGAGATAGGATGTGCTTGAATGGAATCATATTGTTTGGAACCAAATAAGCTTACTGCCTCTGTCTCTTGTTCTTTTTGTGTCTGATGGGCTGTCATATTTCTCATAGTGAGGTTGCTTGTCTGTGCATTCATTGCCCACTAAAAGAGAACAGCATCCAGCAGGATCATTTCTTCCACTGGGTTTCTAAATGTTAAAGATGGAACTCGCTGGCTTCTGATAAAGAACAAGTTGGTTTTATCAACTCTTGGATAAGTGCGCAAGCATACTTATGGGCTACATCCAATGTTATGTGAGAAGACTTGGAGGATTTTCCTTACAGAGGGTTCCTCAAGTTTCTAGAGCAGGTTTAGAATATGCATCAGTTTTGGGAGATGAGTACTTATTTGGCCCAAGCTAGGAGATGCCATTCATTCTACAGGTGCTGGACCAGCAGCAGATAGACAGATGGATAGGCAGACAGACAGATAGTTGTACAAAAGATTTTTTTTTAAAAAAATAATTCAATCAGAGAAGCATATGACAAATTACATGTTATCCCTTTGAAGCAGTCACTTTCAAGTATCAGAACACAGGTTTTGTAGTGGGTGGTGTAGATATTTGCCAGAATGATTTTTACCACATGTGTTTGCCAATCAAAAATGAAGTTCCATTTCCTGATTATCTGTGATTTTCTTTCTTAAGTGTTAACACTTAAGAGATTGATCTCTTGTTAACACAGATAAAAGTCAGAGTCAAACTACTTTTACAGTTCAATCAACAAGCTATTTGAGCTAACACATCCTCTGAAACGGACCACTGCCTTAATACTGTAAAGTCATATTAATAGTATATTTTCATGGAAACTCAACTGTATTTTGCTAATATAGTATGTAATTGGAATGTAGGGTTTTGGGCCTTTTTATTTTTGTTTTTATTTTTATGATCAAGCACATAAAAAGACCTATTCATCTGATACTTGATCTCATACGATAGCATCTTATAAGATTAAAAAATGAAATATAGCCCATTTTGTGAAGAGAAAAATTCCTTGGCTTTTTTTTTTCCTGTTTGTAAAAGGGTTTATATATTACAAAAGTGCTTGCACAAGAATCTATCCTAAACATAAGACCAGATATTCCCACACAATCCTTTATTAGGTTTGTATTTTGCTAGCTATATTTCCTTAATTGTTGCTGGACAAACTGGAAAGTGCAGAATTAATTGCATTTTTATTTCATTCTACAGAAGATGATGGGTCTGAAAATAAAAGCCCTGTTTATGCACGTAACTCCTTTTTATCTCATCCTTTGTGCTCTCTCCCCCCCACCCCCGGCTGCTACAAAATAATCATTCAGTACATTTTCAGGTTGAGGTATCACAGCGTACATGCCAATATGCACAACAAAATTATACAGATGTTTATGTGTATAATCTTTATTATGAGCTGATCAAACTTGGGAGAAGAGTGTGTTGACCACAAAAATTGTCTTTGTACAATGTTAATTGCCTGGGGTCTTTACCTACAAAGATCAGAATGGTGCAAGCAATGATTTTCTTTGTGACACTCTATGGAAGCAAAAATTGAACTTTGAAGAAGCAGGACAGAAAAATACTGACACTTTTCAATTTGGTGTGGAAGAGGACTTTTGAGAATACCATGGATAGCCAAGGAAACAAACAAATGGATCACAGCATAAATCAAGAGTTTTCATCAAGGCATAAATGATTAGGCTCAAATTATAATATTTTGGACACCTTAGCAAACATTCAGCTCCTTAGAGAAGTCTATATTGTTGAGAGAAGAGAAGAGAAGAGAAGAGAAGAGAAGAGAAGAGAAGAGAAGAGAAGAGAAGAGAAGAGAAGAGGTCTGACCGGCAGTAAGGTACATGGATGGGTGCACAACTGGGCCAGACTGGGGATCAGATCCTCTTAGAGAAGATCTGTCTATATGGCCACTAAGAATCAATACCAAGTTGTTGGCACATCATCAATCAATCAATCGCCTGGGAGCTAATAGTAGAAGAACCTCTTTATACTCCTTGAAACAATATTTCAGTATTTAAAATCAGATTAAATTTGGGGAGAGGGAGGGAATAGGGAGTGTGACAAAATACATTTTAAAGATGAAATCCAAAACAATTTGTTAAGAGCTATCCACTGTTTTTAATATGCTGGCTATTTTATTTGCCAAGTGCATAGCAAAAGAAAAATTTTCTCCACTTCTGAACCCTCTTCCTCTAAAATAATTATAATAATGATGTCATAAATTCTGCTATTAAAACTCAGGTAAACATGTTTTGTCTTTAGAAACTAAAAGGAGAATTTTAACTTCACATATGGCTGGAAAATAAGCTATTATTGTGCTTCCATTATTCAAAGTTGAGTTTACTTTGCTTTGCTTTTCTTTCTAACCCTTTCAAATTTTGATGGGGTTTTTTTTTTGGTGGTTGTAGGAGAAGGGCAGAATAAGGGAAGCTATGTACATTTTATCCATGGGAGGTATAATCGGGAATGCAAACATTAAACATAAAAACATTAAGTTTTTAAGCTTTCACACATAACATCAATACACACACTCTTGCATATGAGTGGCAAGGAAAAGAGCCAGGGAGAGGATTGACTTAAAAATAAAATATTAGTAGAATTTGCAGATTAAAATGGCAAGAATCAAGGATCAGAAAGTGCTTGAGCAACTCTGGAAAACTTGTTTATTCTTAAATGCTTGGCTGACTACAGGGCGTTCTTCTTGAGGTCAAAGTATCCAGTGAGTTTGTTTGCTCTCTGTCCCCTGATAAGCTTTGTTTTTCCTAACATAGCACTTTAGCACCATCTACAGACAACATGGCTATTTCACTCTTTCAATCCAACTCAGAAATTCTCCAGATTTTTTAGCTTTATCTTATTTGCTTCATAATTGTGCCTTTGCAAATGAAGGAAAAGAGGAAGAAACAGTGTTTTTGCAGGCTTATAATTTAAGACATTATATTTAGATGCAGGAAGAAGAATGTATGGTCATCCTATTAGAGCAAATATTAATTAGTATATAGCACTTTGTTTTCAAGACCACTACTATGGGAACTGAAACACTAATGCTCATCAACTGATTGCTTTCATTTAGTTGTCCCTGTATACCACGAACCCTGTAGATTTGGAACATGGTGCCAGATGAGTATGAATTTTACAACTCCCATAATCCTGATCCAACATAGCCATGGTAGCTAGGAAAGATAATATTGTTTTCCAGTGCATCTCACTATGCTGCCCCCATTTAAATTTATGGGCGAGCATAATTGTAGAAAGTAGCAGCTTTGTGAAGCTTATTTAGATTTTGTGCTTTCTCCAAAGAGCTCAAAACAGCATATGTATTTCTTCATTTTATCTTCAAGAGAACCTAAGAGAAAGATTAAGAAGTATGTTTATATATCCAAGTTACCCCAACGAGTTGTATCACAGAATAAGATTTGGTCTTGGCTGTATTCAGACGTAGCCTGACAAAATAACCACCTTCACACACAATTGTGTTTATTCTATCTCAAAAAGTGTTTGAGAAGATATTTATATCTCATATTCTCATAGGTTGTATGCTAAAAGTTTATCAGACTGCTTAATAAGATGAAAAATTGTACTTATTTTCCAATCATTTCAATCCAAACAATTGTATGAGAAAATTCATACAAACATAATTATGTCTTTTAGGAGATGCAACCAGATTTAAGTCCTTCAGAAAGTATATCTATAATTATGAAGCAGAAATCACAAGTGGTGTGACTGGAACAGCAGATTCCCACAGTGGCTCTAAAATTAAGTGCAAGGTAAGGAAGGAGAAGGATGAAATATTTACAGATTATCAGGCAATACTTCTTTTTAAATATACTAGCACCATAAAAGTACATTCAAACATTTCCCTAGTGGATGGAGAATTCACATATGGCAGAGAGACCACACACTTCCCAAAGCAGCACAGAAAAAGAAATCCCAATTATTAATTGGGTTAAAATGGCTGATTATAGTTAAAGACTCTAGATCTCAAATGTGCTCTATGCAAAGTACAAACATTTAAAGTTCATTCCTAAGAATTCATTCCTGGCTAAAGCCAGAGAAAATTTCTGATTTTTTATTATAACAGGCACAAATAACTCCCCTCTCTAACTGATTTCTTTGGCCACAATCCCATCACCACATTTTTCTGATCTGCATAGCATAGCATTCTAGTCAACACTGTGGAAATGATCTAATATCAAAAAATACCAGCATATTGATGATCTGAATCCTAGTCTCATTTAGTTACAACAGTAGCATGGGTGCTCCCCCGCACAGCCCCCAGGGGTTAATTTCACTATTTTCTTTTAACGTCTTAATTACTGCAGCTAAGTAGCAAGATCCTCCATCATCTCTGCACAATCACACTGGAAACTAACAGTGTTGTTCTGGAAACATCCTGCATGATATGCCCAAATGATTCCAGACTAATCAGTTTAATAAAAATCATTGTACTACACCTTTAAACTTCTCTGTTTTCAGGTTGAACTGGAAGTTCCACAACTCTACAATTTAGTCCTGAAGATAAGCCTGTGTACCCTCGAAGAGGTGTATGGCATTGACATCCAGGGAAAGGCTTTATTAAAACAATCAAGGAACTCAGATGAATTTGCTGCTGCCATGTCCCAGTAAGAAAAAAATGTCTTACCTAATTTTCTGTGGGACTCTAATGCTAGCTGAATGTCTTCCTATCTACCATGGATGATAGTGGATATTGAGCAGTTGTGTCCCAAAGGCAGAACCAGAGAACAAACTGAGTGATTCCACTGCAGACAGATTTTTGTACTACACTTAGACATGCTGTGTTGCTACAGCATTCAGTAAGCTTCAAAGCAACTAGCCATATCTTATCCAGAAGCTTGCTTTTCTTTAGATCTTTGGTGATCAGCTTTCTAATAGTCTATGTGGAACCAGGGAATATAAGTGGTGTAACAGTACGCAAACTCTGAGCAGAACATCAGTTGAGTTGCCTGGATGCTTTTTGACTGTAGTAAGCATCCAGCTGGAGATCCCTTTTGCCGGCATAGAGACACATGTAAGAAGGAAAAAATTTAGATTTTCTTAGCAAAACCAAAACCCCTTCATTTTTCAAACATAATTCAGAAATTTCAGAAAACCAGCCCCATAATGATTCATTTCTTTGTCCACCAACCAATTGCTGGAAGAACAGTAACATTTCAAACAGAGACTGGTTTGGGAACAGAGCTTTGCTAAACATACCCCTGTGTGCAAAATCATACATGGAGAAGGAAGTATCATGCTCATTATTATGACAACAGTGAAAAATAAAACGATGTCAGCAATACTTGCCATAATACATAAAGAAAACACTTGAAAGAAAAGGAAGAATTCCAAGTACAAATAGAAAAAAAATTGGCCCGAAGCATTTCAGAAAAAAAACACCTTTTTCAAGAATGTTCCATTGCAAACAAAAAAGGGGTTTTTTTCCTTGAAAAAAGGGAACACATGAGATGCATTGGGCCAAATAAAACCTTGCAATTTCTCCCTCTCTCTTTTGTTTTCTTTATGCATCATGACATATACTGTAATAATGTTTAAAAAAAAAATAGGCATGATCTGGTGAGGATCCTACAATTTGGGGAGGAGGTATATTTTTTCAATGATAACAGAGAAGCTTGCAGCTGACTGCTTATATAATGGTCTCTTGAAACTTTATTGTTCTGGGAACCAACCTTTACAAAATATGTATTTTCTGCTGGATCTTATATTTAATGAAAATCTACCTAATGTTAGATCTTAGAAGATAACTAAGGAGGAAATATGTTACGCATGGAGCTATTTTATAATTTAAAAGAAGTTAGGGAAAAATGGCAATAGGCTAGTACACTTAAAGGTTTTAAAACCAATGTAGGTTGCATTATAAAATTGTGTGGTATGAACAGATTCAGTTCAGAGAATGGTAGACTGTCAAGCATCATAATCAGATGAAGAGTAACAGAGGTGATTCATGAGGGTAGTGTAAACCAAATGGTACGCTGTGAAACATATTTAAAAAGCCCTTGGAGATAAAAACAGGCCATAATAACCCAAAGTGCTTAGGGGCCCCCAAGTGGAAATGGACACTGGGGACTAGGTCAAAAAACTAGGTGGGTGGAGAAATAAACAGAAGATTATAGAACATGGGGTTGGCTAGAACATGAACAAGAGCATTCTATACTACAGCATTTTTCTTGGAGGTCCCTATTTTAATGTTAAACAATGCTTTTCTTTTTCTAAACGTTTGATGTGTTTGTTTGGACAGATATGACCTGAAATTCAAGATTCAGGATGAGCAGAATGTTGAGCTATATCCTGAAGACAATGAAGCTACACATATACTCAACATCAAAAGAGGCATCATCTCTGCTCTTCTTGTGCCAATGGAGACAGAAGTCAAAGTCCAAACCGTGTCCATGGTAAAGAGCACAGCCATCCTGTTTTCTCTCAATAAATATAATTAAACATAGTTCAGTGACCCAGGCAAAATACTGCACCTGTGGGAAGTGGCTTTTGGGTCACCAGGCTTGCTTTGGTAGACTGTAGAGGAATGTGGTATTTTTGTCTTTGTAGGATACTGTATATGGAAAATGTGACAGCAGCATTGAAATAAAAGACAGGAAAAGCAACACTGCTACTTTAGCAGACATTGAAATAACAAGAAACCTGAAATCTTGTGATAACTTCAACCCTATCAGAGATAATGTCAGTCCAATTGCTTTCATTAAAGGCTTGGTAAGTACATGGGGCATGACACAAAATATAGACTGTATGCATTGTATGACTGAGATATACCACACTTTCCACTATCACTGTCATTACAAAATATGGCTATCATTTTCTCGATATATTTTGATGAAATCTCTTTCCTCAATGATCAAGTAAAAGTCTTTTTATGAGCAACCAAGAATTAAAATTTAAAAAAGGGAAAGTTTCTAGCAGGAGTCATGATCTAAGGTCCTCACTTTAGTTTGTTTTGTTCTTGGAACTGGCCCTTGCAAACTTATCAAGTGGAAAACTATGCAACAGGCAGATGATCTTAGGTTAAATTGAGGCATTATGACTAAAAAATAAATCCCCCCCCCCAAAATCCCTGTGGAAACACAAAGTGTTTATCAACTCTGGAATAATATGTTATTTAAAATTGTTGCTAATATAAATGACTGTTTATAAAAGACTAAATAATGATAGGTATTGAGTAAACTAATATTTCATATGATCCTGCCAAGGAAGGAAGAACAGTTAACTGTATATTTGTATCCAAATGGAAATGCAGGGAAAGCACATGAGCAAAGAAATTCCCATCCTCACTGGCTAGCCAAGATAGATGACAAGCTAAACAAGGAACTATAAAAGCCATATTCCAGGGACAGCAGCCTAATCACTATTCTGATCACTGTAAACAAGCAAGGACTGCTTACAGATGACACACCAGCTTGGTAGAAGAAGGACTTCCTCTGCTCCGCCCACATTAATACTAGAAAGGCTGGCAAGAAGGGAAATATTCAGCAAGTCCAGTATAAAAATGCACCAGGCTTCTACAGAAGTGGTAAAACTCCCTGTCCAGCCCTCCTCTATGGCTCCTAGCATGGGAGTAACTTTTGTGGATTTTTTAAAATAAGCTTAGGCTATGGTGGTTTTGGTTTTGCTATCTAATTTAACCACAATTATGTTTGCAGAATGCACCTTTATCCACCCTGTTAAGCAGCAACCAGCATTGCCACTACACTGTTGATACAAAGAAGAAGCATGTATCTGCAGCCATTTGCACTGAAAAACACTTGTTCCTGCCCTCCTCATACAAGTAAGTTGCATAAGGTTCTTCGCTACCCTTTCCCTATCAGAGTTTACATCTATGGTTCAAAACAACACCATGTTACTTTATACAATGAAAAGAACAATGGGTTTTGTTGCTTTTTTCTTATTGCCATAGAAATCAGTATGGCATGATGGCAAAAGTCGTCCAAACTCTGAAATATGAAAACATTGCTAATATCAACAACAGGAATATGGATGGTAAGTCTTTAAGCAATGGTTATCACTTTGATCTATTTCCTATGGGTCACATAGGACTTTTTTATATATATAACCCATAGGGGAAAAAAGAATATTTCACCTACCTGGTTTCCTAGAGCAGCACTTAAAGGAGGTTTGAAGGTCTGTGAATTCTTTGAAGATCCATTACAAGGAAAAGATGGAAGCAACCGCAGTTGTGGAGGGTAGTGTCTCTTTGACTATTATGCTTCTTCTGAGATGGAATAAAGTATTAAAGGGCATTAGTGCATAGGCGAATGCAAAATTTAAGAAGATTCTAAAGAAAGAGAAATAGAGAAAAATAATGTTTATTGGATCTTGACGACTACCCTACGCAGTATAGAGAAGTAGTATGAGCAACCTGTTTTGATTTGTACTGCAAGGCTCATGCACAGAAGGCAAGATGGTTTTTGGTTCATCTTAAAAAAAAAAATCTAAGTCCATCAGGATTAGTAAGGAACATCCATTCACCACTGGTGACATGAATAAATTGATGCCTTTCAAATTGGATAGAGATGACCTAAGGCAAGGCTTATGAAAAGAAATCAAGAAAGATACTAAGATCTGGTTAATATCTCCTATTAGACTGACTTGGAAATAGCAGCATTTCAATGTGACATTATTCCATTTGAAACGAGGCTGATTCACTTTTAAATCTGGACATCTGGTTAGCTAACAAACACAGAGAATAATTGTTTTGCCAGTGTCCAGGGTGAGTTTGAGCACTTGAATAATGTAACACAAAGCTGGCTATGATAACTAATACTGTAATAAATTAATAATGGTTGTACCTGATGCTGGCTAAGCATTAGTGGAACAAAGTGAGGTGCCCAGTCTTCGCTTATTCCAGAAGCATCCACATTTCACACTGTTCTAGAGGATCCCTCAACTTTTAGGAGGGGGCATGGGTGGTTACAATTGGAAGGATCTGCAATTCAACTAAAATAACACGGGCAGCGTGCAGTGATGTATCATTTTGAAAACATGCATTTATTTTCCAGTTACTGGCCGAATAAAGAGAGAGCTGTCTTTGGAGAATGTGGAGACCAAAATTCTCAGGCATGGTGATGCTGTTCTGAAAGTTCTTCAAGAATTAAAGAAACTCACAGACTCTCAGCAAAACCATAAAAGAGCCAACTTGTTCTACAGATTTGTCACTGGGCTGAGAAGCTTGCACAATAGCACTCTTAGTCCCCTGGTGCCAAAGATGATGGAAACTTCCAGGTATTTTATCATCAGTTGAATCAATATAATAGAACCCCACAGTGGAATGTTCGGCCATACGCCTTGTAACAATGTGGCCAAAGTTAGCAATTTACACATTGCAAAGAGAAGACCAATGCTGGAAAATGTAAGTCAGGGAGAACAGCAGACAAATGCTTTATCAGCAGAGAATGGAAACACAGTATTGTTAGATGGCAATCTACTTATGTGACAGGATTTTCTACTTCTTCCTATATATTCTCATCCCCAATTTAGAGGAAGCCCAATCCTCTGGATATAAATCAAAGGGTACATGGAAGAGGAGAAAATCATCCCCTCCCAGTTCGTTCGTTCATTCGTTATTTATTTATTTATTTATATTGATTAGCCACCCAGCTCCAGTGAACTCTGGAGTTTTGTTGATGGACAAAGGTTTGTTGGAATCAGCCCATATCTTGATTCTTACAAAACATTTATTTTTCATCAGATAATTGGATTTTCTCAATATCCTTTGGATGAGCCAAAATTTACTGGCTAACACATATCATCCCATCAACCCAAATAAAATTGTCCTTGGTCGCATCAAAATTCAGTCTACATGTTAGACCATTTTAAAATAACATTTACACAGATGATTTCAAAGCAATTTACATGCATTATCTAGCATTAAACTTAGTATCAGCCTTGTGGGCTTTCTACTATAGGACAAGTCATACCACTATCCTCCATATTGTTTATTTTTTTGGATTAGAAAATGGACAAAACATTTATGGACTTCTCCAAACAATGCTATGCTTTGGTTTCAATTTATTGGGAAATTAGAACATGAAAAACTAAAAGGTTCAACATAACTATTGGCTGATCATCACTCTAGTTTGTTAATTTCCAGAGATACCGAGAGCCCAATGTTTTCCTAGCCCATCTATACAATTAAAGGCAATTGTATAGGCAATTAAAATAAACTCTAAGGCAGAGATAATGAAATATATCAATGGCAAACTGGACAGCACATTGGCCACTACAGCGGTACTATGAATGTGTCATCAGATCAACTCTGTGATTCCTCTGATTCTTTTTCTTTATAGTTCCGTCACAATACAGGCCCTGATTCAGTGTGGAACCCCAGAATGCTTTGGAGCTATCCTTCAAATATTGAGAACTGGCAATATTGACCCCCTGGTGGCAGATGCTGTCACATTCAGCATGGGACTGCTACCTTCTCCAAGCACTAAAACAATACGGGAGATTCTAACCATGGCTGAGTATCACCCAAGCCGAGCTTCTTTCTATGCCTTGAGCCATTCAGTGAATAGGTATGTGACAACTCAGCATATTTTGATAGGAAAAGACGTTACTTAGGAATAAAATTTAGCTAACGCAGCATAAAGTTGTCATTAGGACTGCAAACTGTTCAAATAGTGAATTGCTTAAATTAAGCTATTACTAACATTTTTAATTGGCTGAAAAGCCATCTCTGATTAATAAGGAAACATATACTTTAAAAAATACTTATGAAAGATAAACATCTTAGAAAAAGCCCCCTCCTATTTTCACAGAAAGGAATATTGCTTGTGAGATGATTGGTTAATTAGTGTAAACATACGTGATATCTTTGAGTGTCAATCTTATTAGGAGTTCAACATAAACATTCTGACCTGATGCTGGCTAAGCA